TAAGTTTAATCTTATTCAATTAAAATTCTAGCAAATTCATTGATATTCATCTCTCTCTCTCTACAAAGTTGTAATTACACAATCTTATGGAATCGATCGAGTATTGCTCCCCAATCTTGAAAGAGAACGGGTTAGGGTCGTTCGGGTTACAACTCACCCATTTTCAGCTTGTTTTAATTATATTCATCCATTAATCATGTCGCTTATTTACATCAACGTTCAATTATATTTTTCCTCTAAAGTTATGAGCTAAATTTATTTCCCCAAGCCTGATTATGGATAATTAGCTAAAGTTTTTAAAATCCAAGAAGGCAAAAGGTTGTTTTATAAAGTTAAAACTTGATTTGGCCAATTAATGTTTCAACCAAGCATCAATGCTCAAAGGGTTGATACATTTTCACAACTTTAATGATTTAACTTTGGAGAGAAATACTTTAGACATAAAGATTTTTTCGGGTAGCCTAGACATAGGACCTCGACTTAAGGTTACGGTTGATTTTTATTAAATTAAGTTCAATTTTCTGATAGATATATTAGGGATGAACTTATACATCAAAATCACTTAGACATAAGAAGATGGCAAAGCAAAATCGATGGAAAATATTGAGAAGCGCCTGACGCCTAGTTGGAAAAAATTGTCGTATTTTTAGCTAATTCGAAGTAACTGGAATGAGTTCATTTAGTCTTAAAATACCAAAACCAACATTATCCTTGATATTTGTTACCCCACGTTTAATTGCAAAGTCACCGATCAACATCATTTTCTTTAAAAAAAGGCTTCATTTGTCTTTGAGGATCGATACTTTGAATACTCATTCCATTTTACTACTTGTGACGGGTGTACACTTGCACTCTTTCATTTATTTTAAATTCAAAATCCCAAACACACTTGATCGACTATAGGTTGTTGAGCACTCCCTTGGCCAGCTATGAGTAGACTTCCTTGGCCAGCTATGAGCAGACTTCCTGTTGGCTAATGAGCATTTGAAAGACCCAGACTTTCTAGGGTCTCAATTTTGTGGCTTGCTTTCCATTCCAGATTTTGAGAGGGCGTTCAACAAGAGGGCATCGATTTCGTGTTCAGTTGACTGCGGGGCAGATATCCTGATATTGACTTCTAAATGATCAACAAAGCCTTTAAGCGCATCTGGACCACGAGGCCTACTTATGCTTTTGAGGAACACTTCTAGCGCCTTATTTCTTATGGTGTGTCTTACCATGACGCTTTGGACCAAACTACTGCCCAGTACTTCACTCTTCCTTAATTTCGAATGTAATTCCCTCCTTGTTTTTTGTAGTGGGGCTCGCCCTTTGTTTTGTAATGAATATGTATTCACACACTCTCTTTACATTGAAAGTTTGTTTTTCGTACCTCACTATTTGATTAATGGCTCTGATCCCTTCTTAATCCTCAGTGGCTCGTCCATCATGTGTGTGATGGAGGAGTCGACTGAAGAATGTTAGTCGGGCTTTGGACATCGGCCTTTTGTACTTTCATATAAAATAGTTTGTTTTCCAACTGTAGTTGAATTTTTCGACGGGGAGCCCTAGTTGGGTCCTCGCCTCGGAATTAGGGATTTGGAAATTTGAATTCCCAACGTAAAATTTCTTCGTGGGATCTCTCAGTGGGCCCTTTACTCGGCATGAGGACCTTGGGATTTTGGATTACCAAAGGCAAAGTTGAATTTCTGAGTGGGACTCCTGGTCCGGTCTTTGGGACGTGGATTTTTTTTTTGATTTCCAAAGGCAGAATTTTTGAGTGGAAGCATTGGGTGGGTCCTCTACTAGAAATTGAGGCTTGGAATTTTTGGTTTTCAAAGGTTGAATTTTCGAGTGGGAGCCTTGCATGTGTCCTCTACTCGAAATTGAGGCATTGGAATTCTTGATTTCCAAAGGTAGAATTTCTAAAAGTCAAATGGCAGTGGTCGTACTGTAGAAGGTATTTATTGCCATTTCTGAAACGCATGGGTTAGAATTTTGGACTGGAGGATTTGACTCTTCAATTCTCCCAGGTCTTTTTTGTCGTTAAGCCGCGTGCACCCCGAGATAGGTCCTTTTACAGTACAGGGCGTCCTTTCACTTACCTTGAGGCCTAATCTCCATCGTAGGATGATAATTTGATCTGACGGCAGGGGTGCGCCACCCCTCCAATTAAATGTGGAGGTGGTTTCTTGTGTTCTTCAAACCTTGAGCGATGTCAGGAGATTCAAGGAACGATTCTATTCAAGTTGACATACCTTTTGAGGATGATCCATCTACCAAGGATCGTCCTACGGAGGGAGAGGGGTCTAAGGAGAACCCTTTTGAAGAGGAATCCTTGGAGGACGAGCCCCTCAAGGAAGTCAACTATACTAGATCAACGCTGAAGACTTTGCCGTGACTCTCCATCTATTCTAGGAGCAGATCGTCAAGTTGCGCACTGAACTCTCAATCTCGGAAGAGGGTTGTTGGGTGGTGGAGGAGGCGGGCCCGTTAGTACGTGGCCTGTGTGGAGAAGGTGGAAGCCATCTACGATGACCTTCAAGAGCGTCTTGAACATCTTGAGAGGATGTGTGCTCCCTATGAGCTGGACGTTTAGGTCCTTAGGATCTCACTTCTTCCTCCTGTAACTGGCGTTTTTGGCGTTTCCACCTTTTTACAACGGGGGAGTCTATAGGTCCTTCATTGAAATGAATAAAAGAAACTTCCTTTTTGCTTTTTGCACTTTATTGCGTTTGCTTGTCTTGTTTACTCTTGCATTCACTTTTTTATTACCGTGGCAAGCATGTGCTCTAACGAATGGGTCCCACTAGTTCAGGGGCATGTCGCTGGACCGAAGTGCCCCTTTTTCGTCTTTTACATATCCAAGGTGCTCTCCAGGCCGCTAAACCGAAGTGCCCCCCAGTTCAGGGGTAGTCCTACTATAAAAAGGGGAAGTTTCACTCAGTGTCTTCTGCTTTTTGTTCATCCCTTCTTTTTGGTGTACAAAATCTCTTGTTCCATGACGCCTTCTTCATCATCCTCCATGCTCTATTCAAGGGAAGTTGTGTCAGGTTAGCTCGACTGGGGCAGAAGGTCCGATGCTTGAAGCAGAGGCTATCCACCACGTTGCGTCGCTTGAAGGATTCGGAAAGAGTCAGAGTGTAACGCCCCAGAATTCTCAACATTTCCAAACGGGGACCGTTACTAAGACTACCTAAAATTTTCACTTAAACAAGAGAATTATCTTCACAACAAGACTAAACAATAAAACTACCATGCTTCTTCTGCGCTACTCTGATTCAATACTCACGAGAGCTTGAACAATCAAAACAACAACACTAAAGATTTAAGAGAAACTCAAATCCTTTACACATAATCCATTTAATTACCAACTTCACAGTATCCAAACTCCTCAAGGAAACCTTTACTAATCATAAACCATCCACTAAATGAAAATTAACATCTCGAATGGCAACGAAGCAAAAGCTAACTCAAGTTCGATCAACTTAAACAAATGTATTCATAGGTATCCTAAGAAGATTACAGTCCTGGAGTTCAAGAAGCTAACAAAATTAATGTTCTAAAAAGAATAATGAATTGACCACCTTAAAACATCCTTTAAACCATAAAACTAAACAAAACCAACCACTAACAACTCAACTACAAGATGAAATAACTGCAACTATCCTAACTAAAAGAATTAAATACACGCAGCATAGCTAATGGTCTTTCCGATCAAGCCTCCTCCTCGCCACCACCATTCCAAAGAGTAACACTGTTACCTACAAAGTCTAGTGAGAAAAATAAGGGGTGAGTACACCCACGGTACCCAGTAAGCATTACATACTTGAAGGGTCACACACAAACAACATGCTATGCAAAGAATCCACACATCATGCTTATCAATAACTTCAAGCTTTAAGTAAAAAGAAACATATTAAAAGAAGCAGTTTATGCATAAGTTTAACTAAACATGCACCATGCATGTCAAACTCATCCTTACATCTAAACTCACTAGTTCTCTTTCCTAGTTCCTCCAAAACTTACTCCTTCAAGTCGAATCGACCCCTGACCTCGCATAGCCAAGGCATCCACACTTCTCCACGGTGCTCGACGTTGGACCTTGACATTTATCCCCAAGGCCTCAACTACTACCAAACGTAATGGTCCTTAGCCTCCAAGCAACTCCTAACCTATCACACTATGTTGGTCCTCCAAGTCTAACTCCTCGAATCGTATCGGCCCTTGCCATTTATCCCCAAGGCCCGACACTCATCTACAGAGGCTTGGCGTTCGACCTTGCCATTTATCCTCAAGGCTTCAAACTGTGCATCGACCCTTCA